GTTATCTGCAGGACCCGTCGTCGCTTCTGTAGTGGTTTTCGGTTCCCTCCTAATGCCTTTCTTTCTTTCTCATATAAATGTCTAGTGGATAAATGTCTAGTGGGCAATGCGCTGTGCCATTTGGGGCCACTACAGAAGTGACGACGGGTCCTGCAGAGAATTACGACGAGCCGGCGCAGCGTTTGTAGGCACGCTGATTTCGATTTACTAACCGCGTGCATGCATGCTAAGTCTCTCTATTTCAGGTGGTGGGTTTACAGTTTGTGCCTAATGCTTTCCATTCTCATATGAATATCTCCATGTACTCTATTCCATTAACTTGCACACATAGCTTCAGCCAATTGTATTCGATTTCCATAACATCTTTGTGTTCGTGGCATTCCGTGAACTATACTTCCTGACCGCGTGCACTTAGCTAGGATTTGTTTGTAAACAACTTATTACGTATGCTATTTAATTAAGGTTTATGTCACCGTTTCCTTATGCATTAATCGAGTTTTTCTCTTCCTCTTTCTCTCTCTTTCAAGTTTTTGGCTGTTGTTTGATATCCCCGGTGTGGCTGCGCTTGATGTGCATGTTGACAAGGTGCCTACCTGTCTATTACCCACTACCTCGTCCATACTGGCTCCAGGAGACAGTTGGTCGTTGCTGGAGGGGACGGGGTGCGCGGTTCTTGTGGCCGTGTTAGGCTCGAAGAGTGGTTCCATGCACTCAGTATGGAGCGGACTACGGTCCAGCCACCGCCTTGTGTGCGGTTGATTCCCCAAATACAGCGTGCTTGTGTTTGCCTGTGAAGGAGTGTGGGCCGGCTCCGTTGATGAAACGTGGTTCCCATCCGCATGCCTCCCGGTCTTATTCCTTCGGGTTTACACTGGATATGGGGTATGTGGTTGGAGCTGTGGGTGGTGCAGCGCAAGCCATCTATGGTCCCTCTGTAGGCGCAGGCGTCCTGTGGCTTGCCACGGTGACAGGCAAATCCGAAACCGGATGCCGCCAACCATATATATATATATATATATCGAGCTCATGGTGCTGTAGCACATGCGGTTGCGAGTGCCTTAGTCAGGCAGGCCTAGTGAGCCATGAGCGAGGCCACTCGGGACCATTACCGAAGCGACAACGGGTCTTGCAGAGAAGGCAGGCAGAACCGGCGCAGCGTTTGTAGGTACGCTGCATTCGATTTACTAACAGCTTGCTTGCATGCTACGTCTATTTATTTAAGGTGGTGGGATTTTAATTTGTTCTACTGCTTTGCTTTCCCATATAAATGACTACTTATACCCTCTTCTATATACTTGCACACGTCGCTTATGCCGCTTATAGTTATTTCGATAACATTTTCGTCTTTGTAGCATTTCCGTAAAATAAACTTCCTGACCGCGTGAACTTACTTCGTGTTAGTTGGTAAACAACTTATTTCGGATGCCCATTAATTTAAGATTTATATCACCGTTTCCTTATGCACTAAACGATTTATTTTCTCGGTTATCTTTCTCTCAAGTGATTGGCTGTTGTTTGATATCCCCGGTGTGGCTGCGCTTGATGTGCATGTTGACAAGGTGCCTACCTGTCTATTACCCACTACCTCGTTCATACTGGCTCCAGGAGACAGTTGGTCGTTGCTGGAGGGGACGGGGTGCACGGTTCTTGTGGCCGTGCTAGGCTCGAAGAGTGGTTCCATGCACTCAGTGTGGAGCGGACTACGGTCCAGCCACCGCCTTGTGTGCGGCTTGATTCCCCAAATACAGCGTGCTTGTGTTTGCCTGTGAAGGAGTGTGGGCCGGCTCCGTTGATGAAACGTGGTTCCCATCCGCATGCCTCCCGGTCTTATTCCTTCGGGTTTACACTGGATATGGGGTATGTGGTTGGAGCTGTGGGTGGTGCAGCGCAAGCCATCCATGGTCCCTCTGTAGGCGCAGGCGTCCTGTGGCTTGCCACAGTGACAGGCAAATCCGAAACCGGATGCCGCCAACCATGTATGTATGTGTGCCCCATGCTGAGGCTGATGTTGCATTCTTGATGCTTCTTCACTGCAGTTGGGCTAAACCAACTTACACTCAAACTAGGTCTTTTTAAGCTGGATAAATTTCATTCCGCTTTATTTGGTTTGTTCTGCCTCCCTGAATAATGTTCTATTAAGTGGCCACGTTGCTTACACTAATTGCGCTTATCTTCGGTAATTTTGTTGCGTTTTGTAGCATTTTTAAGTAACTTGTGGACATTTCTTACTTATCACGGATTTGTTGTTAGCGCACTTACTTCATATGGTAAATTAGCGAAGAGTTATGCCACCGTATCTGTATGCATTGTTGGATTTATTTTATTTCAACTTGTCGTTTAAAGTGAATGGCTGTTGTTTGATATCCCCGGTGTGGTTGCGCTTGATGTGTATGTTGACAAGGTGCCTACCTGTCTATTACCCACTACATCGTTCATACTGGCTCCAGGAGACAGTTGGTCGTTGCTGGAGGGGACGGGGTGCACGGTTCTTGTGGCCGTGCTAGGCTCAAAGAGCGGTTCCATGCACTCAGTGTGGAGCGGACTACGGTCCAGCCACCGCCTTGTGTGCGCTTGATTCCCCAAATACAGCGTGCTTGTGTTTGCCTGTGAAGGAGTGTGGGCCGGCTCCGTTGATGAAACGTGGTTCCCATCCGCATGCCTCCCGGTCTTATTCCTTCGGGTTTACACTGGATATGGGGTATGTGGTTGGAGCTGTGGGTGGTGCAGCGCAAGCCATCCATGGTCCCTCTGTAGGCGCAGGCGTCCTGTGGCTTGCCACAGTGACAGGCAAATCCGAAACCGGATGCCGCCAACCATGTATGTTGGCGGGAGAGCCTATGGTGCGCTGAGGCTGGTGGTGGCTAGATCCTGACAGATGGTCTACCCACTGCTGCTACTGTTGCGCCATAGTCTCATGTCCTGGGCGCCTCCACGTGGCGACCGCTGGGTGGGAGTTAGGTTTCGCCCTTCTCCCTGCTAAGATCCAGGACACCAATCCGCATGAGTCAGCTAACTGACCATGTGCTAGACCCGCTGCCTTTCGGGTGTTCATTTAATCGAAGGCTTTGGCTGAGGACCCGAGTCGTTCTCCTGTCAGGTGTGGGCGCCCTGGCAGTATCCTAGTCCATCCTCTCCGGAGGTTAGGAAGTGGTCGATGGCCCACTTCCCGTAAAACCTAGCCATGGGAGACAACAGGTTACGGGTTATATTCTCAATGCTCGATTGGCGTAGAGCACGAGTACCACGCATTGTCTCTGACGGTGGGAGGACACCTCCGGGTGTTCAATGGTTTGCTACTGCCCGCCTCAAGCCAGGCAGCCCCTGGTCAAATTGGTGCAAACCCGCCAAAAACCCACCTGCGTCTGGCCGTGGTCGCAGGTGCGTATCCAATTACGGTCGCAAAACATATGATAACTGTTCCAGAACCTCAAAGGCTGCGTGTGACGGCCGTCAAGCAGATCCCCATCTGTCTCTGCAATCACATTCCCGAGCTGGATCTGCTCTCCACTGCCTTGTGGGTCAGGCTATTGAGCCAAAGGCTCCGGGTGGAGTCCCTCAAGCAAACCTCCAAACCACCCACTGCCTTGTGGGTCAGGCTATTGAGCCAAAGGCTCCGGGTGGAGTCCCTCAAGCAAACCTCCAAACCACCCACTGCCTTGTGGGTCAGGCTATTGAGCCAAAGGCTCCGGGTGGAGTCCCTCAAGCAAACCTCCGAAGCACAACGACCACCTCGCGTGCGATTGCCCACCAATGCAATCGTATGCCTGCGCGCAAAGCACTCAACATCGGGTGCTGGAACGTGCGCACACTACTGGACCGGAACTCGAGCGAGCGCCCGGAGCGACGCACTGCACTGGTCGCAATGGAGCTGGCGCGCTACCACATCGATATTGCGGCGCTCAGTGAAACTCGGCTCGCTGAGCAAGGTAAGTTACATGAAGCAGGTGCTGGCTATACATTCTACTGGGTGGGGAACGCCGCCTCAGCACCACGTGAACATGGGGTCGGATTTGCAATATCCGATCGCCTGAATGGCCAGCTGGTGGGTGAACCAACGGGCATCAGCGCGCGACTGATGACTGTTCGCCTGCGACTCGGAAGAGGTAAGTTTGCTACTTTTATAAGCACGTACGGTCCGACCATGTGTTATCCTGATGACACGCGTGATCAGTTCTACACTGAGCTATCCTCCGTGATACGGTCTGTGCCGAGGAGCGACCGACTATTTCTGCTGGGTGATTTCAACGCGCGCGTTGGGCGTGATGCATCAGCGTGGACAGATGTTATCGGTGCGCATGGCATTGGTTCAGCGAATGCGAACGGTGACAGGCTGCTCTCACTGTGTGCCACTCACGGCCTGACGATCACGAACACTCGGTTTGCACTGAGTGCGAGTGATATAGCAACTTGGACGCACCCACGGAGTGGTCACGCTCACCTGCTCGACTATGTCATCGTACGTCAGCGTGATATGCGTGAAGTGCGCATGACACGTGTACTGCGTGGAGCTGAGTGTGGCACTGATCACAAATTGGTTCGGACCAAACTGTACATATATTTTCGTAAATCGATGTATTGCACTCCCGCCGTGAATCGGCGTAAATTTAACATTCTCTCCCTCGGCACTGTGGCGAAACGTGCTGAGCTGGAGAAGGCGATGGCTGCACGCCTGTGTGGTGATGTGGACTGTATAGCCACAGTGGGCGACCTGTGGCACCACATTCGCGACCAGGTGACAGCTGCTGCGGAGGAGACCATCGGGCGCGCAAACTGTAAGCGGCCTGATTGGTTTGATGACAACAATGTGACGATTGACGCATTGGTGTCAGAGAAGAATGCAGCATTTGCTGCACATGTTGCAGACCCCAGTGACTTGGGGAAGAGTAGTCAGTTTCGCAAACTTCGACGGCGACTGACCCGAGAGCTCCGTCGCATTAAAAATGCATGGTGGACGGAGAAGGCGAAGCAGATGGAATGCTACGCCGAACGCCGTCAACACAAGGAATTCTTTGACTCCTTGAAGGCGGTGTATGGACCGAGATTGGAGCCGCTGAGGACACTGATCGATGGTAGTTCAGGCGCTACCTGCACCCAGACTGCAGACATAATGCAGGTCTGGCGGAAACACTTTGACTGTCTCTTGAACAACCGTTCAGAGATCGACTGGCCTACATTGAATGGCCTGAAGCAGCACGATGTGAAGGCGGATCTGGCAGATACGCCGAGACTGGATGAGACGCAGAGAGCACTTGCTCAGCTGCGAAACGGCAAATGTGCCGGAGGTGACGGGATCCCACCTGAAGTATTGAAACACGGTGGACCCGCGTTGTTGACTGCGCTGCACCACTTGGTGCAACGCGTGTGGATTGAGGAGGAAGTGCCTTCTGAGCTGAAGGATGCCCTTGTGCTACCACTGTACAAGGGCAAAGGTAGCAAGCAATGTTGCACGAATTATCGTGGCATCAACTTGCTGAGTTGTGTGGGCAAGGTGATTGCCCGAATCCTGCTCAATCGCCTCGTGAGTCAGATTGTGGAACCTCACGTGGCGGAAGAGCAATGTGGATTCCGTTCGGGTCGCAGCACTATAGATATGGTGTTTGCGGCTCGTCAGTTGCAAGAGAAGTGCAGAGAACGACACCAGCCTTTGTACTCGCTTTTTGTTGATTTCACCAAGGCATTTGATACGGTGAACCGCGAGGCACTGTGGCTGGTGTTGGGTAAGTTTGGTTGCCCGCGTAAGTTTGTAAGTTTAATTGAATGTCTGCACAGTGGTATGCGAGCGAGGGTGCAGCTGAGTGGAGAGACCTCTGATGACTTTACAGTTGTCTCTGGTGTGAAGCAAGGCTGTGTGTTAGCTCCTGCCCTGTTTAATATCTATCTTCATGCAATGTTGTCTTGTGCTTTTGATGCGGCTTGTGTTTACGGTGTTCGTGTGGAGCACCGTATTGATGGTGGGTTGCTGAACATCCGTCGTTTCGGTGCGAGAACTCTAGTCTGTGAGACAACTATCCGTATGTTGCTGTTTGCTGACGACTGTGCGTTGTTTTCACACAACGCGGATGAGTTGCAGCACATGACTAGTGCTCTGGCTTCGACAGCGGCCAAATTCGGGCTCACCATCAACACAAGCAAAACTGTCTGTCTGTTTCAGCCTTCACCGGAGGTGCAATCTTCAATATTGCCGCAAATCAGCATTGGTGCTGAAGTATTGGAAACCACCTCCCGCTTCTGCTACCTTGGGAGTGTGATGTCGACTGATCAGCAGCTACACATTGAGTTGCGTAATCGCGTGTCGAAGGCGGCAGCGGCATTCGGGAAGCTTGAGTACCGAGTGTGGAACAACCATCAGCTTAGCATTGGCACGAAGCTGATGGTGTACAAATCCATGGTACTGTCCGTTCTTCTATACGGCAGTGAAACGTGGACGATGTACCGTCGGGATGTGCGATATCTCGAGCGGTTCCATCAGCAGTGTGTGCGACGAATTTTGCGGATCGGCTGGGGCGCCAGAGTTGCAGACACGGAAGTGTTGCGCCGAAGTGGGATGTATGCAGTGGACTGCATACTTTTACTGCGACACCTGAGATGGCTCGGTCATGTGAGCCGTATGGATTCGACGCGAATACCGAAACAACTTTTATACGGTCAGCTGAGTATAGGGAAGCGGCATGCTGGGAAACCCAAGTTACGTTACCAGGACATGATTAAAGTGAGCCTCACACGTTCTAATCTTGATTGCAGATCATGGGAATCGAAGGCGGTTGATCGGCGTGCATGGCGCGATCTAATCACGAAGGCAGTTGCTGAGGTGCGGGAGAAAGCCCTCATGCATGCAGAGAAGAAGCGGCAAGTGCGGAAGCGGCAAGCACCGATGAATTGTACTCCATCGACATCGAGCGCATTGTGTTGTAGAACATGCGGTCGCGAGTGCCTTAGTCAGGCAGGCCTAGTGAGCCATGAGAGAGGTCACTCGGGACCATTGCCGAAGCGACGACGGGTCCCGCAGTGAACGTAGGCAGCACCGGCGCAGCGTTTGTAGGCACGCTGAATTCGATTTACTAACCGCATGCTTGCATGCTAAGTCTCTTTATTTCAGGTGGTGGGTTTTCGGTTCTCTCCTAATGCCTTTCTTTCTCATATAAATGTCTAGTGGGCCATGAGCTAGGTCCTTTGGGGCCACTACAGAAGCGACGATGGGTCCTGCAGAGAATTACGACGAGCCGGCGCAGCGTTTGTAGGCACGCTGATTTCGATTTACTAACCGCGTGCTTGCATGCTAAGTCTCTTTATTTCAGGTGGTGGGTTTACAGTTTTTACCTTAATGCTTTTCTTTCTTATATAAATATCTCCATGTACTCTATTCCATTAACTTGCACATATCGCTTTAGCCAGTTGTATTCGATTTCCATAAGATTTTTGTGTTCGTGGCATACCGTGAACTATACTTCCTGACTTCGTGCACTTAGCTGGGATGTGTTTGTAAACAACTTATTACGTATGCTATTTAATTAAGGTTTATGTCACCGTTTCCTTATGCATTAATCGAGATTTTCTCTCTTTTTCTTTCTCTCTCTCTCAAGTGATTGGCTGTTGTTTGATATCCTTGGTGTGGCTGCGCTTGATGTGCATGTTGACAAGGTGCCTACCTGTCTATTACCCACTACCTCGTCCATACTGGCTCCAGGAGACAGTTGGTCGTTGCTGGAGGGGACGGGGTGCACGGTTCTTGTGGCCGTGTTAG